GAGGAACAGGAGGAGGAGGAAGAGGAGGAGGAGGAGGAGGAGGAGGACATATGGTATTTCCTATTTGTTTGGAAAGCGTAGCGAAGCTGCCAGGCGAACTTGAACAAAAGGGAACTGTTGAAGTTCCCTTTTTTCAAAGGCCCTCGAGGCCTCTCGTGGGGCTCGTTGGGGCCTCTTTGGGGCTTCCTGGGGACATCTTGAGGCCTCCTTGGGCGGAGATCTCGGGTTCTCAGTTCGCGTTCCCGATCCTGGGACGCGGTTGGGGCCCTCTCGGGCCGTCTTGGACGTCTCTTCGGCCGCTTTGGAGCCGTCTTGGGGCGCTTTTGAAGCTTTTTGGGCCGTCTTGAGGCGATCCTCGAGGCCTCTTGTGGCGTCTTGCAGCGTCGGGAAGCGGGACAGGCGGAAACGCCAACATTGCTCAACAACCTAGGGGTAATCAATGTGCGTTTGCCTCTTCGAGCTCGCTTGGGAGACCTCTTGGAGGCCTCTTGGGTATCTTGGGGGCTTTTTGGGCCGTCTGGAGGCCGTCTTGGGCATCTTGGACCGTCTGGTGGCCTTCGGCCCATCCCGCTAGCGTGCCTGGGTTGTAGGTTAGAGGCCTCTTGAAGATTCGTTTCGATATCCTGGGAAGCCTCTCGGGGGCCTAGTTTGGAATGCCCCTTGGGGGCCGTTTGGGGGCCTCTTTTTGGGCCTCTCGGGGGCCTCGTGGGGCATCCTTGGAGGCCTCGGAGGCCTCTTGGGGCCTCCAGGGGGCCTCTTCGGGCGGCAAGCTAGAATTATCGGTTCGTGTTCCCATCTTGGGGTCCTCTTGGGTGATCTTGGGCAACTCTTGGGCACCTCTTGGGCCGTTTTGGGGCCCTATTGGACCGTCTTGGGGCCCTCTTGGAGCCCTCGTGGGACTGTCTTGGGGGCCTCTAGGGCCGTCTGGGGCGTCGGAAACCCATAACGCGAGAACGCGAAAAAACATGTGAAGAAACCACGGAAATCACTGATTTGTGCCTCTTTGGGCCCAGGTCCTCTTCGAGCGCTCTTGGGGCTGCTTTGGAGCCTCTCAGGCCGTTTTGGGGCCATCTTGGGCGCCTTGGAACCCTCTTGGGCTGTCTTGGAAGCCTCTGGGAACCTATTGGGCGCTTTCTGGGGCCCTCCGGCCTCTCCGGCCTCTCCGGGCCGCCTCTGGGAAGCGAGTCGGGAGGGTAGCAAAAAAGTCTCCCGGATGGTTGCTGCCTTGGTGCCCCAATTATCCGCTGGCCCCCTTGTGGGGCCACCAAGCTGTAGGCCGGGAATGTGCTGCTCCCTGTACCAGTTGCAGCTTCCAGTTTCCACTGTTACAGTTATGCTTTTTGCTGCTTACTGCTCCTTGTTGATGAACGCGCGAGGAGGGGGGAGCCCAAACAAGCAAAACTACCACGCCCTGGGAGGGTGAATTTCTGAAAGGGAGGTTCAAATTGACACCCCTCACGCAGATCCGCCGGGTCAGGGTCCAAAAACACAAAGGATTTGCCACATTTCTGACATTAGGTGGCACCCCTCACGCAGATCCGTAGGGTCAGGGTCCAAAAACAAAAGGGATGTGTCACATTTCTGAAATGCGGTGGCACCCCTTACGCAGATCCGCAGGGTCAGGGTCCAAAAACACAAAGAATTTGCCACATGTCTGAAATTCGGTGGCAACCCTCACGCAGATCTGGAGGGTCAGGGTCTAAAAACAAAAGGGATTTGCCACATGTCTGAAGTTCGGTAGCACCCCCTACGCAGATCCGTGGGGTAAGGGTCAACAAAAACACAAAGCATTTGTTACATTTCTGAAATGCGGTTGCACCCCTCATGCCGATCTGCAAGGTCAGGATCCCAAACCAAACAGGATTTGCCACATGTCTGAAATTCGGTGGCACCCCTTACGCAGATCCGTAGAGTCAGGGTCCAAAACCAAAGGGGATGTGCCACATGTCTGAAATGCGGTGGCACCCCTTACGCAGATGCGTAGGGTCAGGGTCCAAAAACACAAAGAATTTGCCACATTTCTGAAATTAGGTGGCACCCCTCACGCAGATCCGCAGGGTCAGGGTCCAAAAACACAAAGAATTTGCCACATGTCTGACATTCGGTGGACACCTTACGCAGATCCGTGGGGTCAGGGTCCAAAAACAAATGGGAGTCGCCACATTTCTGAAATTCGGTGGCACCCCTTACGCAGATCCGTAGGGTCAGGGTCTAAAAACGCAAGGGATTTGCCGCATTTCTGAAATTCGGCGACACCCCTCACGCAGATCCGCAGGGCCACGACGTCTTACCAATCGCCAGGTGTGGTAACCCCTCTGGTGATCAATTGGTTTTGCTCATTACGAGTCGGCCTCGCATGAAGTTCTGATACTGCTTCACGACATCGCCCAGGCCTCATGACATAGCTCTTGCATAGCGCATTATCCGAGAGAGGGGGCCGGCGGCAGGGGGCGAAGCCCTTACGGATATTATAGTACATCATAATATACCATCTCAAGTTATATTACAATAGATCGTCTTCCAGCATACTATATGATACAATATGATGTCATACACGATTACATCGTCTAATCCAGGAGATTACCAAAGACTATACGCAGTGTAACACATGTTGTTATAGCCTGCGATCGTAAACTGTACTGTACCATGACGGACTAGAGCACACTATGTTATTCTGCATTAGAAGATATGAAAGTACAAATAAAAATACTATACGGCACCATGTACATTATATTACGTCATAATATAATAGCTTATAGTATAGCTCATTATATACATGTTCTACTAACGTAAATTAGCAATAGATTGAATGATAGGGCGCTGTACTAGACGTATTAAACTGGACGTTACTAGACTAGTGTCGATTATATTTTACCACACAACATAAATCAAACACATCATACGTTAGACCTTCCTGTATTGATATAGACTAATGTATATAGTACAGTAGCATGCATTCATTCATCTCTAAACACACACACATATATATATATATATATTAGTATACGGAATCAGTTGTACTATACTACACGATACGAACGATCGCCCCCAAGACGCCTAAAATGGCCCCGATACGGCCCAAGAGGCCGCCAAGACGCCCGAAGAGGCGTCCAGGAGGCCTCACACGAGGGCCCAAGGAGGCCCAAACCACGGATTCCCCCAAATAGTTCTTGACGGATTTCTGCGTTCTCGCCTTTTCGGCTTCCTGACGCTCCAAGACTACCCAGGAGGCCCCCACGATCGGCCCAAGACGCCCCAGGAGGCCCCCAAGAGGGCCCCAAGACGGCCCAAGAAACCCCTAGGACGCCCCCAAAAAAACAAAAACGGTCCAAGAGGGGTCCCAGCTGGGGAGCCCGAGAGGACATTTCGAACCATCGGCCCCGAGAAGCCGCCAGGAGGTTCCTTCATGAAACCACCCAAGAGGCCCCCAAGAGACCCCAAGGGGCCCCCCAAGAGGCCCCCCCCCTACGAGGCCCCCAAGAGACTTCAAAACTGCCCCCAAGAGGCCCCCGAAGGCGCTCGGAAGAGACCCCAAGAAGCATCCCTGAGAACTCTGACCCACAACCCTGGCACGGTGGCGGGATGGGCCGAAAGCCACTAGACATGTACAGCGAGGGCTTGACGAGCACGCCATCCTGCGATACCCCAAACCCGAATGCCTGCGATTCCTGCCCAGCTGGTCAAGAGGCCGACGGAATCCTGATCGATGAATCGGTTACACCCCTTCGACAAAAAAAAACATCGCTTGAGCAGGGACCGACCGTCCTAGCATTGCTATAATCCTACCACGAAATTTTCTTAGAACCTAAGAACAAAAAAAACGTTCTTAGAACATAAACCCGATGTGTTAAAACAAGACAATCTAAAACAGAACTGCTCTAAGAACATTTCGTGGAAACCACAAAAGGTTCTTAGAACATCGTTTGGTAGGGCCATAGGCGAGCCAGGACGCTTCGCCACTGCTTGAATCGCAGGAGGAGAACAGCATAGCAAAAACTACACTTATACTGAACTCCGGAGGTCTGCGCGGATCTCTCGGCTCGGCGCCAGACGCTCCCGGCGGCACCTGCGGCGCTGCCCCTGTCGCGTTCCGCGCGCGAGGCAGCGGGGAGTTCCAGCACTGGCCCAGGGAATCCGCACGACCTCCGAAAACTTCTGCTTGTGTAGTTTCCAAGTATGACCATTGTCGAAGGAAGAAGAGAGAGAGAGAGAGAGAGAAACACAAAACATT